CGGTGCATTTGCTTAGGCTCAATTATTCAGTTAAGGATGAAGAAAATCATATTTATTGAATATTTACCTTTTATCCTGGAAGCATATATAATGCAGTCTTCCCAGTTATCCAAGGGGAGCATCACCTATATATAAGTTCTGACTTAACTCTGAAGGAACTGAGATTCAGAAAATGAAGAATTAGTCACAGACTAAGCTATCTGATTCTAAATAGCATGAATAATATAAATGAATATATAAACACGAATAATAGCAACTAACATTTATGAAGTGCTTATTTCCAGGTACTGTGCTAGTGTGCTATACACATTTAAGTTAATTCTAATAAGTAGCTAGAAAGAGAATCATTGTCTTCATGTTACAGAAGAAGAACTAGGGGCTCAGAAGAGTTAAGCTAAGATTACCCAGGGTTACACAGGTATGTTGGACCCCAGAACTTGGGTTCTGTTACATGGCTTTCTCATATGCTATTCCAATTATATCATTGTCAACTTTATGGAGGATGGTGTTAATATGTCCAGAATCACATGTTTCAATCCCTAATTTACTCAGGATTTCTTCCTCACAAATACATAATAACATGTATAAGAAACTATAATTGACCCTTGAACATAGGGGATAGAGGTGTCAACCTCCCATACAGTCAAAATCCACATATAACTTTTGACTCTCCAAAACCTTAACTACTAAGAGTTTACGGTTGATCAAAAATCTTGCTAATAAAATAACAATTGGTAACACATATTTTATATGTATTTTATACTGTAATGTTATAATAAACTAGAGAAAAATGTTACTAAGAGAACCAAAAGGGAGAGAAAATACATGTATAGTACTTTACTATAAAAATGCATATTAATATATCCATTTAGTTCAAAGCTGTGTTGTTCATGGCTCAACTGTACATATAATAACCATTTATTTATTCCACAAAATTTTATTAAGCACCCATTGTGTGTTAAGCATAATTCTAAGTAGTGGGGATACAGTGGTTTATAAAGCTTATAGTTTAGGACCAGAAAGACTTTAAACAAATAATCATACTAATGTATATAAAAACACAAAGCTATATAAAAATCATTAAGAAAATTTAGAGTTGAGAAGAGATTGTAACAGAAGGATCTGAATTAGATGGGTTGTGGGGAGGACTAGGGTCCTAACAAAGACTTCTCTGAGGAGCTAACATAAAAACTGAGCCCTGATGGAAAAAGAAAAAAATACATATGATGAAGGTGGAGGGTATTTCAGGAAGAAGAAAGGGCAAATGTCAGATCTCTACGATGGAAAACACTTGACAGATTATAAGATATCCAATTTAAAAACCGATGCATTCATATATTACATTAAGTGGGAAAAGGATGCTACTACACGTCAGGTTTTGGTTTTTTATAATAAGAATAGGAGGATAAATGTAGCAGATCCCTTCCATGGAATAGCTCAGTAGCAAAGATAAATTGTATGATAAAGACATAAACAAGAATGCCTTGGGAACAGAAGAGAGAGCAGCTAAGACATCATAAAGGAGCTCATATTTGAGTTGAGTTGAACTGAGTGAAGGATGAGGATTTCATGTGGCAGAGAAGTGGGAAAGCACTTTCCCAGCAGAAGGAATAATATGTGTAAAGGCACAAAGATGAGAGAAGTTGGGGGGCAGAGGACTGCTTATTAGAGAAGGGGCCAGTAGTTAAGCTATGGCCAGACGGAATGGTTTTGTAAATCCTGTTAAGAAGTTTGGACTTTCCAGGCTTAGACAGGGGCAGATATTCGGGGTGTTAGGCAGAAGAAAAATATTTCAGAGGTGATTGTGGTAGGTTTATAGGGTTTGAATTATAAAATGGTGGCAGGTTGAGAAATGAAGAGACTTTTGTAATACCCAAAGCTAGAGACAATAAGCTTCTCAACTAATCCAATGGTAGTATGAGTGGAGTGGATGGGGCAGGTTTGAGATGTATTTTGTGTTTAAGAGAAGCTGGCCGTGCTAAGGCTAAAGAAAGAATGTATAAATACCTCATGATAACCCAGAACCCTAAGATACTTTGGAAATCTGCTTCTTCCTCGGATTGCTATCTGATGAAATATTCTCTCTCATATATATGTGTATATATACATGTAATATATACACACACATATGTGTGTATGTGTGTGTATGTATACAGATATATAGAGTGTCAGTATTTTATTTATGTGTGTGTATATATATATATATATATATACGTTTATGTGTCTATATCTATTGAGCTACTTTTTAATTTACTTATCGTAAAGGACCACAATTTGTGCACCGAACAATCTGCACAACCATATGAGGGGTTTTAGCCCACCACCATCAATGGAAAGAGAACTGATAAACGTGCACTCTTGGCAGGGCTGGGGGCCCCTCATGTCTGCAGCTGAGACTAAAACACACTGTGCTATTTGTCATCTTTTAATCAGACTTGTGTGAGTCCTACCACTTTTTGTGAATGATTTTAATATTTTGGTTAAGACTTGTACATTTTTCTGTTTACCTATATAACCATAAACACTAGTTATATAGATAGATAAATGGATAGATAGATACATAGATACATAGATTGACACATAGATTTATAGATACTTAGAAACAGATCCATTTGCCATAAATAAGTGTCTACAAATGGAACAAAGATCTCCTGTCAAAATAGGTAGAAGTATTTGTTCATTTTCAAGTACTCCTTTCTTCAAAAAATTTGTCATGCTAACAAAGGGAGGGCCATTAAAAGTATTGTCAAATTCAATTCAGATTCAAACTTAAATTGGAAGCATTGAGAGCTGTGCTTGGTAAGTGCTGTTGCCAGTAGCAGGCCCTGGATTAACAAAGATGATTAAAATGGACTCCTCCCCTCAGTGCTATGTAATGTGTTGGGGAAGCAACTGGAACGAGGTGGTTTTGTTCATTATGGTTAAATGCTGTGAGGGAAGTTGCACTGGGAGATCATTCAAAACAGAAGAAACAAAATAGACAAATATAAATACTGTGTTTGGGGTATTGATAAGACAAACAAAGAAGCTGCTTAATCTGATGGAAAGAATTCTGTCATTTACTGGCCATGTCCTTTTGGGTAATTTACTTAACTCTCCCTGGCCTCAATTTTGTTTTCATTTTCAATAGTGAGAATATTTATTTCATAACTTGTAAAGTAGCCATAAAATAATATACGTGCAACTTTTGAAAACAAGCATTTTGTGTTAACATACATTATTGCATTGTACATATTAATAATAAGAGTATCATAATTGAGAAAAAAAAAGAACTTTTTTTCCTCCCAGTTCACTCTTTGTGCTTCCTTTCTTCTTGGTGTACACACCCTAAAAGCTATACTTATCTTTCTTCCTTTGAGAAAGTGGCAGGGCCATTCTGGAAGTGCTGGGGTGGGGTGGGGGTTGCAGTCAGCACTGCCTGGGGCTTGGTGGGAGTGTGGATTAATTTTGCAATTGCACTCCAGGAACGAACATTCTAATGGGTGACATTGGCTGAGTACCTAGAGAATGAGGCAGTCATGCTAAATATCCATGGAATTTTACAAATATCTATTAAGCCAGGACCCCTTGAACTATCAGATGAAACATAGCATGTACAGAATTGGTGATTCTGAACTGGGGCTTGTGTTGGAAGATCTGGCCCTGGACATCACATGTACTAAATTATCCTCTACGAACCTGACTGTACAACCCCCTCCCCCGAGCTGTGTCTATCTTAACACCAGCACCAGGGAGACTCCCGGGTCTAGAGAAAGAACTTCAGAGGGCCCAACACATCCAGCTAAAGCAGACATTATTCTGAGAATATTGTGGAAGGTGCACTGAAGTTGTTGCTTTATAAAAGTGAAAAAAGTATTGACATTTCTACCCAGAACTATTTTTTAACAAGCTAGAAAATACTGAAAAACAGGTAGTACAGTTATCTCAAGAGAATGCAGTATAGTTAGAATGCACACTATTTTTTCCCAGTGTGTATTTGGATAAAATATGTGCAATGAAATTTCAGGCCAAATCCTAATGCAGAAATAATCCAAAATATGGCAGATTTATATGATAGGCAGTTTTTATTTATTTGCTAATGTGGATTCCCTTAAGAAGTCAAATGTTCTACATGTTACTTATGGCTTCTCCTTGAAAAGACTTAACTCTAAGGTCTCAGCAGCATAAAACTCCTGGCAGCAAAGTTGTCTGAATCAAGCATCAGCCATAATTCTCCTTTGCCACTGACTCTGGGTGGTTTGGAACCTACCAGTACTCTACCTGTTTTGGTAATTAATAATTTTTAATTAAAATGGCAGTTTGAATAAATCAGCATAGTCGTAGAATTTGAGCCTCCTCTCTTGCCATCCTTCAGAGAATCTGAAACATAGCAGAGAAGAAAGGTTTAGGTACCTGAAATCCTCCATTAAAAGCTTTGAGCTCTGCCGCCCCAACCCCACCCCATAGTTTTTGGATTTGTTCCATTGTTCTTTGAATCTTTCTTTCCAAAAGGAATTAAGCAGGACCCTTTGTCAGCCTTGTGCTAAACAATGAGGAAATAGAGACATGTGACTCCATCCTTATCCTTGAGGAACTAACTCTAGGTAAAAAGACAGGCATAAAAAAAAATCAGCTGTGATACCACATACCACAAGGAGAAAGGGAGGTGATTCTCTTCTCAGATTTGTGGAGAAGTGAGGGAAAACTGCAGAGGGGAGGTGATCTTTGAAGTCCCTTGAAGGATGAGTCATATCTTTCCATGTAGGAAATGAAGAAAAGAAGAGGAAAACAAAGCAATGGAAGTATTTGTTTTTGCCATGTTCCTGGGAGAGCCAGGTTTGAGCCCTAGCAGTACATAGTATTAATGGCCACCTTGTTGGCAAATCAAGCAATCTGAACATTATTGTTGAGACTAATACTTATCATAAAAGCATGCTGTGCAAATATTTATAGGCTTACATCTCCTTTTGAGTAAAAAGAATCATCCTCATGTATTTCGTTTCTCCTTGGTTTCTTTATAGTTCCTCCCCAGATCATGAATATCTCCTCAGACATCACTGTGAATGAGGGAAGCAGTGTGACCCTGCTGTGTCTTGCTATTGGCAGACCAGAGCCAACTGTGACATGGAGACACCTGTCAGTCAAGGGTAAGTTCTTTGCCTTTGGGAATTTTTCAGTTATTCTATTATTCTATTGAAGAATTTGTTCTAAAGCACACCAAAACTTTGGGAATCAAAAAGCAATGCTGTATTTGTAACATAGTAATGCAAAAGCAAATAGACCACATGCATCAGTCACTGAGTATTCCATTCCAAAAAAAAAAAATTAAAAAAGGATTTATAAAGAGAAAGTGTACTGAATTATTTTCTCAGTCCTTTTTATGACCACAGAAAATTTCTGTTTTCCCAGGCAGGAAGAACAGGGGTGCCATCACTTTAAACAAAGATACTAATTTCTTAAGGTGGAGATGCATGGGTCAGTTGGTCATTAGCCCTTTCTTTAAGAAGAGTGCTAGAAGGTTAGCATGCCCATTGTAAATGTTGGTATTACTGTGCATCCTTAAGAAAAAAGATCTCCTTACTCAGTACTTTCAGACCATTTCCCCGGAGCCACACCTATTTGACCCATATATCCATAGCCCACCTGGGTGGAAAAAGGTTGATGGAAATGGTGAAGTACCCTCGGCATGCATGTGCTGGGCACTCAGTGGTTGGCATTCAGTGTCAGTGATGATCATTGCCACCTCTGTAGGAAGGGAACCAAGAGAACAGTGGGCCTTATCCCTTTGGAACAAAAACTTACTCTAAGTTGAACTTGAAGAGATGGGTACAGAGTCACCTCGTGTATTTATACATTACTAGAAACTATGATTAATTCTAGAAATTATATAAGAAACAAACGCTCCCTCAAGCATGAGAAAATCCAAGCATAGCATGAACTTCAGTGAAACAGGAGAAGGTGTGGAGTATGCCTGTGTGTTATGTAAAAATAACCTAGATCTAGAGGAAACTGTAGGAACACACCTTCATGACTTTGAAATAGAGAATGTTTTGCTAGGACATCAAAGGATCTTACCACAAAAGAAGAAAACAAGAATAAATTTGGCTTTGTATCATTTTCTCATGGCTGCGGTAACAAAGTGCTACAAATGGTTTGGCTTAAACAACAGACATGTATTTTCTTGTTGTTCTGGAGGCTATATGTCTGTGATTGAAGGGAGGTAAGGTTGGTTCCTTTCCAGGGTTGTGAGGGAGAACCTGCCCAATGCTTATCCATTAGTTTCTGGTGGTTGGCGGGCAGGCTTTAGTGTTCCTTGGCTTGTAGATGTATCCCCCTGATTCCTGCCGTCATTATCACATGACCTTCTCCCTGTGTGCCTCTCTTGGTATCCAATTTTCCTTTTTCATAGGGACACCAACATATCAGATTAGGGCCCAGTCTAATGACCTCATCTGATTTTGGTACTTATAAAGACCCTATTTCCAAATAGGGTCACGTTCTGCAGCACAAGGATTAGAACTTCAGAGTATCTTTTCTTGGGGAATGTGGGGGAATGCAATTCAATTAATAATGGCTTCATCAAAATTAAAAACACCATTTAAGTATAAACGAAAAGACAAGCCATAGACTGGGAGAAACAAAGAATTTTGGATTTTGTCTGGGTTATGTTTGAGTTTCATCTGGGTTACATGAAGAATTCTTACAACATAATTCTAAAAAACTATCTTGAAGTGAACAAAAAATTTGACAGACAATTCACATAAGAAGATCTACAAATAAAAAGTAAGCACCTGAACATATGTGCAATATATTTACCATAGAAATGAAAATTCAATCATAATGAGGTTCTACTCACAACTACTAGGCAGTCCAATTTAAAAACAACAACAACAACAGCAAACCCTGACAGCATCACCTGTTGGGGAGGATGTGGAGAAACTGAAACTCTTACACATTAACTCTGGGACTATAAAATGCTATAAGCACTACAGAAAACGGTTTGGCACTTTGTTACAGAGTTAAACATACACTTAACATATGACCCCCAATTCTGCTCCTGAGTGTTCACCAAAGATCAATGAAAATGTCTGTCTACAAATATACATTGTACATAAATGTTATGGCAGCTTCATTTATAATAGCCTCAAACTAGAAATAACCTCAAACCTTCAACAATTAAATAGATAAATTGTGTATATTTAAACAGCAAATGACTTCTCAGCAAGTAAAAGTAACAAATCATTACTGCATGTAACAACATGGATGATTCTCAAAAACAGGCCAAGCAAAAGCAGCAAGACACAAAATTACCTACTGCATGATTTAATAGGCAAAACTAAGTCATAGTGATTGAAATCAAGTCAGTGGTTATCCGGAGTAAAGATCTGGGGAGATGTGCCTACAGAGGGGCACAAGGGAATTTTTTCAGCTGATGGAAATGTTTTTATCTTCAATACGGTGCTGCTTATGTTGCCTCATGTAAGTCAAAATACCAAATGTTACACGAAAAATGGGAACATTTTATTGTAAGCAAATTAAAATCTCAATGAAACTTTAAAAAATATCCACATAGAGATAAGAGAAATAACTGAAAATTTGTCCCTAATTTGTAACATAATTTATGTAAGCAGTACTTCCTAGATAAAAGACTGGATTTGTTACTAGGAGCACCGTTTAAGGGAAAAGTTAAATGATCTCATGTCCTCCATGTGAGCAGAGATGCGTGTGTCAACCCCAGCCTTGTTGTAGGGAAAGATAATACGAATAAATGCTCTGAACATTCTTTGTATACAGACCTCAGATATAGAAACACAAAATGTCTATATTATAAAGTAATGTTAATAAGAACATTAAACTATACATGAGGGACATCACAAAGCCCAACTTTAATGAAAATGAAGCAGTAGCTTATGTTCCCAAAGACCTAAGCCCCATGGGAATTTTGCTTGAAGTGAGAGACAATTTTGGATTTATATTACATATAAAACTATGTCTAAACATCTGGCCAATTTCTATGTATTTGGTAAATTCAGAGATTTTTATAAATGCTTGAAATCCAAAAATGCATTTATTTGATCCTAAATGCATAGTTCTCTGAGCCTAGAAATCTTTTGAAAGGCATTTTGACTTTGTGTAAGTGTTTTGAAGCAATACCTTATAATGGTACACTGGTAAGATTTCCCTCAAAATAAGGGAAATTCATCCATATTCTCAATCTTTTATATAACATAATAGTTACAATTCAGCCTCAAAAAAGCTCAGAAAACCCTACATTTAAATGATTCCTCTGCTCTTCAAATCTCCCAGGCTATGATCTACTTTCAGTTGCCTTTTGCTTTTTTTACAGCTTCAACCTTCACTTTGCTGTCTTTCTTTCCCCCATTGTCTTCCTCCTCCTCTCTCCATGATATTTAAACATTTAAACTCAAAGCATTGTTTTCCAAATTTGAAAAGCTTTGGAACCTGGAGGGTTTGCAAGTTTAAAATGTGCATCTGCAGATGACTACCATTATTTATTTTTAGAAGGCTATTCCTTCTCACTTAGAGTTGAGGAGACTCTGGGAAGTTGTTTTAAAGGTTTTAAAGAGCAGCCAATAAAACTCAAACATCAAATAGCATTTTTAGAACAATTTGCTGGTTAATTTAGCATGCAAGAATAGGAAATAAAAGTTGCAATGACATTTCCTTTGAAATTCCAATAGGATTACATTGGAGAATTTAGTTCACTGGACAACCGTGTTCCCAAAATGCTAATAACGCAAGATTTGAAAATTCTTGGTTAAATTTAGGGATCTGTATAACAGAAGTGAATAAACAAACCTTTATTTAGAAATAGAATATTTTAATGAGCAGATTATTAAAGATTAAGAATAGTGATAATGCTTATAGTTTAAAAAGATGGACCAAACATATGCTGCCAATCCCTAGAAATTACAGGAAAAAGGTAAAAGCTAATGATTCAATAAATCCATTATCACACTAGAGAAAAATAATGTCAAGCTTGTGTGAATCAGAAACAATATAGAATCTCTGAAATATAAAAAATAAATAGATGTAATGAAGAGGAAAAAAAAAAACAGCTCAATATGATCTATACCTGAAATGATATATAGTTGAAAAAATAAGGGTTTTAGATCTTAGTATACTGGTAAATGTTTAAAATTGATTGGGGCCGAGGTTGGGAAGACAGAAGAGCCCTGGTAGCATTCGCCAAATTTCCACGGTGCAAATACTCCCATCATTGCCACTTTATCAGGAACCTCTTCGAAGTAACTATGCCCATTTTCACTTGGAAAACAAACGAACCAAAAGCTAAGCCTTCCTATGAAAGTAAGGTGATATTTTTGAAACAAATAACCAAAATCCCAGATGTGGATCCAACGTTTCCCCAACATTTCCATTCTCCAGTCTTGGATATCTAACTGGAGATCTCTTGACTTCCAGTTTCCTTGGTGATGTTGGCAGATGTGTTAGGATTCCCAGAAACTAGGTTTGCCTGGAGGACATCTGCCTCACCTCCAAGGAAAACTGAGATTGTTACAGGATCATGATTATTAAGCATTGCGAACATCTCAAAGAAAAGTGCTGTGTAAACATACATTCAGAGGTTTTGCAATTGACATGCAAACCACTTAGCATTTTTCCATGTATTTATTTAACTTCAGATATAAAAAGTTATATTTAATTTATTTTCAGGAGCAGATAATGGGTTTTTAAAAAAACATATTTATGTGGATTTGCTACAGAATACAGAACTTGTTTAATAGCCTTCAGGAACATAAAAATCTGTACCAAGTGACCTCCAGCTTAGGAATGAAAATAATGATGGATTCACAGGCTGCAGCCTCAAAGAATTTTCCCTCCAAAAGAGTGGGCAGGTCCCAAAACAGGCAGGCATTGTGGATTGGCAAATGGCCAGTGTGTTTGGAATACATTGCAAAACAGGTAGGTTCCAAGGATGATATTCTTTTCCCCTCCTGAAGGACAAGAGAAAGGGCGCTGGGCCAGCAATCATTGGAAGGCTCATGAATGTAAAACCATGAATAATGTGGAAACTAAGCTGCACCTGAATAATGTGAAACCAAAGTTTCTTCGTCTCTTAAACCAAAGTTGCACAGGTGGGTGTGACGGAGGAGACAGTACAGGC